GCTTCACTAGATGTTTTCCATTAGATATTACAGGCATTTGGAAGAGCTTATCATATTGATGTTATATATTGTATTAGTCAGTGATGTACCGACTTGATGTCGTTATGTGTGTTCATTGAGACAGGTTTTCAGAAGTCTGGTGTTTTCTAAATAGATAGTTGTAAAAAAAAAAATCTACAGAATGTAAGCGTGAGTGTTGATTCACGTAAAAAGGGCTGCCTATTTCTGCCATATGCATTGCAGGTTCACTAGTCCCCATGGTGTGGCGTGTAGTAAAAATGTGCTGAATTGAGTTTGTAAATTCATTGTATAAAAAAAGTCTGTGTTTTGTGAATGTTTTTAGTTGTATTCAATTTGTCTGGCATTTTTTACTCAGATACATTGGCAGAAAGCCAGTATGGCTGAGCTTGTCAGCTTGTGCAATTTATAGCCAAGGCCCATTCTGACAGGTTTGTCATGTGCTCTGATTATGCTATGCCTGTACTATACTGGCTGTTAAATATTTGATTAATGTCTTTGCACTGTGTCATTATTACTGTGCTCAATTAATTTTGGCTAAGTGGCTAATTTGTCACATTTAGGCTACTTAGAAAATTCCAAAGTTGTGTATTTAAGAAATTGTTTCAACTTTTTTTTGGCAAGGAAGATAGAAAAATCTCCCATGTGTTGGTCCAATCCCCAAATGCCTGCAGCCAGTGAGGTCTTGGATTTGGTGGCAGGAATCTAGTTGCTCAGCTACCTCCACCGCATTAGCAGGGACCTGCAGTCAAATGCTGGAGATGGCTGTCAGATTCAGGCTCCTTGATGTGGGTCCCTTAGCTGCTAGGCCAAACGCTGCTTCCTTATCTGTATCATTCTTTTTAATGGCTGTACCTTGGCAGCCTTAAAAATTTTCATGGAAACTGTGCTTTACTTGGTGTGAAAAAGCATATATGGATTTCAGACTTTTTTTCAAAGTAAATGAAACTTACTACTTTTCCCTGAACTTTTTAAAGGACTCCCATTTTCCCATGAGCATTTGATTTACAAAGATTGACATGTTAGTTTGTTCTGTTCCACTGCCCATTTATGCGTGTTACCATACTCTACCATACACTGGATATTCAGGAGGACTCCCTCTCTTCCATTGTTTCCTTTTTTTTTTTCAAACAGAAAGAATATTTAGTGATTCTTAAAAATGTTCCTTTATGAAATTTAGAATTACCTTGCTCTATATCCTACCTTGATCCCCAGCCCCAGGCACCCTCTCATGTGAATCACCCTCTCATGTGTAGTTTAGTTATATAGCCTGCTGTATAAATAAAATTGTGCACGAGGCAGCCAGTTGTGCTAAAATTTAACATAATGTTCTTGGGGTTGATTTATATTGTTTGCCATATCAGTAGTCCCATTACCAAATCGTTTTCTCATTTGTAGTAATTTTTCAATTGAAACTCTAGAGTTTTTCAGGTATATATCATTTGAAAGTGATTGTCATTTAAATCCCACCTTGCTGCTTTGTAAACACATTGCCTTTTTTGACTAAGTGGCCTCCTATGTTTCCAGAATTAAAACTGATAGTAACGAAACTACACATTGGTTGTCTTACTGACTTCCTGAAAATCTGTACTAGTGTCTTCTTCAAGAATGCTGGACTTTGAGATATGAAGGTATTTTTTTTAATCACATAAGTGGTTTCTATTTAATATGGAAAGTATGGTGGAAAGAGCTACCATTTAGCAGTTGAATAACAATCATATGCAAGGTTATTGGATGCTTAAAAGTAGGATCAGAAACAGAATACTTGTAGAGATTGGGGGCCTCTGTATGATATGCATTTCAAAGTGGAAAATAGTAACTTTAAAGTGGAAAAGCCTGCCATATGCCATTTTAAGCAGGTGATCACCAGTAGTTACACATATTCACATTAGATACCCTGGCTGCCACATGTCATTTCTGGGATATTTGTGCCAAAAGTAAATAGTGTAAAGAAAACCCAGATTTGGTCTCCCATGAGGGTGTAAGGTCCCAAGGCTTTGGGCCATCCCCTGCTGCTTAGTCCGGACACAAGCAGGGAGCTGTAATGGAATTGGATCAGGCTGGACATGAACCAGCTCCCATGTGGGATGCCAGCACTTGCAAGGATAGGACTTTTGCCACTAAACTGCCGCTTTGGACCTATAGCTTATGATATTGAGTACTGTTATGTGAAAATAGACCAGAGAAGTTCCATCACATGTCCTACCTCTTCTGATTGTCACTCTCAAAACGAAGTTAAGTACTGTCACAATTTTTCCGGTCAGGTTGGAAAACCTATCAGGATGCCTGGCTATACTCAACATATTGGTCACTCAATACCATGTCAATTAACTCCATAGTGTTTTAAATTGTTGTTGATTTTATGTTGTGGCTTTTCATTGGATGGGACGATATCCTGCCAGCTTTACTTTCAGACCAGAGATGGTCTCCCCAAGAAACTGTTTAATTTATCTGTACAATAAGATGCTGAACTGTAAGCATGGTCCATGCCCGCAATGAAGGAATCATGATTGGATTTGAACTGTAATACTGCAACAAGGTGGAGGAATCTACCACTGGGGGAGGGCATGGGGGGGGGTTGGGGAATCCCAGAGCCTATGAAATTGTGTTATAAAATGAAATGAAATTTAAAAAAAAATTGTTAGCATAAAAAAAAAAAAAAAAAAAAAAGAAAACCCAGATTTGGAGTAATTCTGTAAAGTAATTGTCAAGTACTCTTCAGGTATCGAAGCTGTGAGTGTCCAAGCATGCCTGCACAGCTGTCTCAGGTCAGGGGAGATGAGGCTGAGCTAGACTTGTGGTCTGAAAATGAGCACTGGTGTGAAAGGTGCTACTATAGATATTAATATCCTGATGTTAAGGACTGTACTGTGATTATATAATATATACACACTAGCGGAATCTGGGTAAGGGATTTACAGGAATTTTGTACAATCTTTTGCAACTTTTTGACATTTGAAATGATTTCAAAGTAAAACATTGAAACAAGCAAATAATCATACACAAAAGCTATATCTATATCATTGCTTGGGATTTGTATTTGAACCATATATGCTTTGAATGTGCAGATACTGTGTTTAAAGTCAGTATGTCTAGTTTCAGTAGAATCCAGTATTTCATAGATACAAGATGGCTTATTGAGTTTCTCAGAGAGGAACATAGCAAAGACCTTTAAGTCGCTCTGCGAACCTCACTGAGTTGATAATTGACAAATGAATGCATGAATTGAAACCATTTATCAAGTCAATTTAGATTTTTATAGTGATAGGGTAGTAGATAATAATTAATATAAGACGTTCGGGAGAAGTTGGTAACTAAGCATGTACCCCTCACAGCTAAGACTGTGTATCTAGGAGAATTGATCCAAACCCACCAAGAGACTGTTGTAGTAAAATTCCAACTGTTTTTCCCCCATCCTATTTGTACTGAAGATGGAAAGAATGGTACACATTTTTCCAGAGCTTCCTAGAAGAACCGCGTGTGCTTACTACTATGTAAGTTGCGAGTTCTTGGTTCCTCGTATGTGGCTGCTGATCCTCAGGTTGTTCATTTCCGTTTCTGCAGTTTCATTCTGTGGTTTTGGCAGATCATGGGACACATATCGATCCCTGGCTCCAAACCTTTTCAAAAATTTATTTTTGGGTCTGTAGCTTTGTTGTCTTACCAGGGCAAAATGGTCCTTGGTAGTGTGTAGTGTTATTTTATGAGCTATGGGGTTTTGTTTTGTTCTTTCTGTTCTTGCTCATTTTTTTGGATTTAAGAATGCATAAGAATGCATTTGGCTGGTCCTCCCTTTGCAGAGAACCAGAGTCTCATGTGAGTGCCAGTTCATATCCTGGATGCTCCATTTCCCATCCAGCTGCCAGCCTGTGGCCTGAGAAAGCAGTGGAGGATGGCCCAAAACCTTGGGACCCTGCACCCACTTGGGAGACCAGAAAGAAGCTCCTGGCTCCTGGCTTTGGATCAGCTTGGCTCTGGCCATTGTGGTCATTTGGGAAGTGAACCAACAGATGGAAGATATTTCTCTCTCTCTTTCATTCTCTCTGGGAATCTGCCTTTCCAACAAAAATAAAAACATCTTAAAGAAAAAGAATGCATAATAAAAACCTAGGAAGTGTTTGGACAGAGAGTGAGCTAGCTATGTGTTTTTATCTGACAGGGCTCTAGCACAAATTTTGTTAAAATTGTATCAGGCTATATTCCTTAAACAGGTACATTACAAATCTTTTGTAAATCTAGTTTAAAAGAATAACTTTGCAAAGGTACTTGTGAAAGCATTTTAATTCCTTCAAACAATTGGAATTTCTTTAAAATTCACAAATCTTCCCTATGTGGGTGAAAGGGGAAAGTATGGATTGGTTGTAACTTTCTCTAGATGGGCTTTCTTAGAGTAATAACGGCAAAATAAATTTTCTAGGTTAGCTACTTGGGTGTGTTACAAGTTATGTTTAAGTTAAACTGATGATAAACAGGAAAGGAAAAGGATTGAAATGAAATATAAAATAAATCAGAAATTTGAAAATGTATGTGGCAAGTTTCATGTCTGCTCTCAGCCTTCTATATTTTTGTTATTTTTGCTGTGAAGTTTAGGCAGTGAAAGACCTTTCAGTTGCTGTGTGCACCTTACTGATTTGGTGATTCACAAGCACAAGATTGATTTTAAGGCCTTTATGAAGTTAGTTTAGATTTTTGTTGGCAAAGGGTAGTAAGTTGTGATGTTCCAAAGCATTCTAGGTTTGCTTTGCTACAAATATTTCTGGAACTCTGTGCTGTGTGTATTTGAAGATTTCTTTATCAGCTTTGTTGTTCTGGAGCTGTGTTTGTTCTACCCCTCTGCTCCTGTACTGAGAAAATGAAGTTGTTCTTGTGGAGGGTAGGGAAGAACGTGTAATGGTAGCTATTATTAATCTAAAAGTTTTGAGTGTGCTACAGTAACAGTGGACAAGTACTAATGCTTTCATTGTGTGTGTTTCCTTTTGAAGTTGGTTGGAGGGCAGTTTGATTTGGAAATGAATTTCATTATCCAAGAAGGCGAGAGTATCACCTGCATGGTGGACCTCCTGGAGAAATGTGATGTGACTTGCCAAGCAGAAGTGTGGAGCATGTTTACAGCCATTCTGAAGAAAAGCATCCGGAACCTTCAGATCTGCACAGAAGTAGGCCTTGTGGAGAAAGTGCTGGGCAAGATTGAGAAAGTTGACCCCATTATAGCAGGTATGACTTCTTCTAGAGTATGTGAAAAAGTAAAGATTGATTCCTAATTACTGTATTGTTGTGCTTTCGCTTAACCTTTAAGTACTATTTGAGCATGTAGTTGTTACTTTAGTGTGTGAAGCCTAAGGTAAGCAAGGTGTGTTTTAAAAACATTGAAGAGAAGTAGATGACGTGTTTTATTGTTTTCCTTTGTTTCCAGATCTTTTAGTTGACATGTTGGGAGTTCTGGCTAGCTATAACCTGACAGTTCGAGAACTTAAGCTATTTTTCAGTAAACTCCAAGGAGACAAAGGACAATGGGTAAGATAAATATTAAATGCTTTAAATCCTTGACAATATTTAGCGTAATAATAGTTGCTTTAATGCCCTTGCCTACCTGTTCTGTCATCAGAATGGAAGCTGGAGTATGGGAAGGTTGAAAATCGGCTAGCAGTTTGAGGCCAGAGAGTTGCAGAGAAAGAGGCTATGCCAAAAACTGCAAGGAGTCAGCATTAAGCCATCTGTGCTTATTCTAAAACGCAGTGAGATGGAGCTAACATTCTGATAGCTCTCGGCCAAAGAATTCCCAGAAATAACAGCTACAAACTAAGTACTATGCAGAAACCACCATGTCTCAATACTGCCACTGCATGGCTAAGAACCTAGACGGGTCAGGCCTGAATAGAAAGTTTAAATTACCCATGTAATAATGGCCAGTCTAGCATCTAAGGCTAGTTTGTTTGTTTTTTGTTTGTTTGTTTATTTTTAAATTTTATTTGAAAGGCAGATTTTCTAGCAAGAGGAGAGACAGAAAGATCTTTAATCTGCTGTTTCACTCTCTAAATGCGACAATGCCAAGAGTTGAACTGATCTGAAGCCAGGAGCTTGAAACTTCTTTTGGGTTTCCCATATGGGTGTGGGGAGAGGCTCAAGGGCTTGGAACATCCTCCAGTACCTTCTCATGTCATGAGCAGGGAGCTGGGTGGGAAATTGAGCACCAGGATATGAACTGGTGCCCACATGAGATGCTGGCACTTGTAGGTTGAGGATTAGTGTGCCATGCTGCCATCTTCTAAGGCTAGTTTTAAGGGTTTTCCCCACCCCAGTAGAGTTTAAAGTTCATTTGCCAGTAACTTATCCACTTGCAAAAGTAGTCTAATAATCTCAAAAAAATAGTATGTGAGAATCCACAACTCAGCAGTGTGCAATTCAGTTGTCTATTAGCATGTCTAAAATCAGTAGTCATCAAAGAAAAGTGTTTAAATTTTAAACAACAATGTGATTATAGTTGCTTGTTACTACGCTTTTATAAGGGCACTTCAGAAATATTGTAGAAAATATGATTAGAAGATAAGCTTTTCTGGATACAAAAGTGTGGAAATCTGTGTATAGTTTTTTTATAATCTGCCTTTATCCAGAACTTTTTGAAGACTACTCATGTTCATTGACACCCCAAACTCTTCTCTACAAATACTAAATACACCAACCACACCACTATAACAGACTCTTAAATCATATTTATTGTTTCAAATATATTCTAAAAACTTTATAATACATTACCTTCTAACCATCCTTTGTGGTGCTATCATTTAAAAAAATTTATTTGTGTATTGGAAAACCAGAGTTATAGAGATGGGACACACACATACACACCTCTTCCATTGGCTTACTCACTCTCCAAATGGCCACACAAACACACACACATACATAGATACATATACGCATAGAGTGCTCTTCCATTTGTTTCCATTTGTTTTATCAATCTCCAAATGGCCACGACAGCCAGAGCTGGGCTGGTCTGAAGCCACAAGCCAACGTTAGCCTGCAATATAGTATTACTGAATTTTGAGTCTCATCTAAAATTGCTTTGGAAGGGCCAGACGAAAGGATTTTACAGATCTTATTCAGCCTTCAGGCTGGATGTTCCCCATCCCTGAAAAATCCTCTATCATGATGGAAATATTGCCTGGAGCACACGGTTTCTTTCAGACAGCTGAAAATAACGTGTTTGTTGTTGTTGTTGTTGTTATTTTAAGTGCTTTTTAGCTTAGGTCATTACTTGATTATTATTGTGTCTATTAGATCCTGATTATATTAAAACGGTGCTGCTTTGTCTTCAGCTGAGCAGCGTGGTAACTGAGCTGTTAATTGTGTTCATAGCCTCCCCATGCTGGCAAGCTTCTGTCTGTATTGAAGCATGTGCCCCAGAAGTATGGCCCTGACGCCTTCTTCAACTTCCCAGGGAAGAGTGCTGCAGTAAGTACTGCTTGGGAAGTCTCGTTTCCCTGACTTCCTTCCAGCGTAGTCCTGTCAGCACCTGTGGCAGGTACCGTGCCAGGTAGAAGCTTCCCTACACCAACTAACATTGCCTGCTGCTTTTTCCTCTTTGAAAAGGTAACAAACAGGGAAGTGGAGAGAGCTGTTCGTTCACAACTTGGGTTAATCATGGAATGAGGACATCACTCCTATGTATATAGTCATGATTTCTTTTTTTTTTCTTTTCTTTTTAAAGATTTATTTTTATTATTTTTTTTATTGGAAAGGCGGATACACAGAGAGGAGAGACAGAGAGGAAGATCTTCTACTATGCCGATCCGAAGCCAGGAGCCTCTTCCGGGTCTCCCACGCGGGTGCAGGTTCTCAAAGCTTTGGGCCGTCCTCGACTGCTTTCCCAGGCCACAGGCAGGGAGCTGGAAGGGAAGCGGAGCTGCCGGGATTAGAACCGGCGCCCATATGGGATCCCGGGCGTGCAAGGCGAGGACCTTTAACCACTTGCGTCACCGTGCCGGGCCCCTATAGTCATGATTTCTTAAGAGTTTACTTTGGCATTCTGTGTGTGACACCTTCACATCCTGTGTTGCTAAGCAACTTCCTGTAGCCTTAAATTTCCATATCCCCCTTTCTTGTGTATCTGATATATAGATTGACAATAACTCTTCAAAACTTATTGCACATGTTTTGTGGTTTCTGAGTTTCCTAATTACATTGATCATAGCATAAATATAAGCTGTTGATCAGTTTATAAATAAGATGGTTATGTTTAATCATGACATGTGTAATGTTTCAAAAGTGTGAAAGCACATTCTATAGTGTATATACATTACTTAAGTTAAAAAACCTCACAACTTGTATATTGTAAGGGAATTTTTTTTCTTTTTTTATATTTTATTTGTATTGTTTTATATATATTTTAAAATAGTATGTTTTTTTTAGTTTTTTAATGTTTATATATTTTTATATTATTCTTTTTTTATTACTGTATGTAAGGGAATTTTTAAGAGATTTATGTATTTATTTATCTGAAAGACATACTTATGGAAACATAAGGAGAGACAGATACTGAGAGAGATTTTCCGTTTGCTGTTTTTCTCCCCAAGTGGCTGCAATTTCTGGGGCTGGACCAGACTTGAGGAAACGAAAAAAAAAAGGATACCTCAGTCTCTTTTAATAAGCTTATCTCTTGTTCATTTTTACGAACAAAATCTGTCTAATGAATTGCTATTTGCTTACTAGACCCTGTATGGCAGGCTCTATCTGCAGAAAGATAATACATTTTAAAAAAACATTTGTTATATTTTAATTTTATGTGTACAATACACAACTTTCTTTGAGAACTTTTTTGCCCTTTTTTTTTTTTAATACTTTATAGTTTTTCCTTAAAAAATATTTTAGACTTGACCTCTCCTAAGTAATTTTACTCTGGTACTGAGTCTTAACATTTGCTTCTGACATTAGGAAATGTCATCATGTTAATAATTTTTCTCCCCACCACATTCCACATTTATTCTTTGCAGTTCTCTTGAGAATTTGGTCTATTCATTCTGCTTAATTGCATTTATCTTGAAAGCAGGACAGTTCAGTGGAATAGTTTGATACTTTCTTTTAGACTAGAGACTATAAGTACTCACTGAATTTGTGTTACTTTCTTCTTAATGCAATATTCAGTTAAAAGGAACCTCTTGATCTCAATAGTAGACATTCATAAAACAATATCATATAGCCAAATTTTCTGATTTATCTACATAAACGTGTATGTGAGATTTATCAATGAGACAGACAAGCTTGTCTAGCATGAGTTTTAGCAACATCTTGAGATGTTATTCACAAATACCATCTCGCTTCAAAGCACACAATTTGAGGAGTTAATGTGATCACAGAGTTGTGCATCCCACCTTGGCAGTTTTCAGAACATTTCTGTTGGAGCTGGCCTTACAGCACAGCAAGCTGTGATGGCACCAGGGGTGCTGGTTTCCGAGCTCCCTACTGGATGCGTGTGAGAAGGCATCAGAACACGGGCCCTGTGCTTTGGCCTCTGCCACCTCACGGGAAACCCAGATGGGGTCTAGGCTTCTGCTTCTGACCTGACGCGTCCCCAACTGCTGTCAGCCAACTGGACAGTGAACCAGGGGATGCCAGATTTTCTTCCTCTATTTCTTCTTCTCTATAACTCTGCCTTTCAAATAAATGCGTATATCTTAAGAATACAATGTAAAACAATGAAACTCCCCTTGAGAAGCCCCAGGCATATTGATTGTCACCTCCCGTTTTTACCCAGCCCCGCAGGTCTTTTAGGTCTCTGGATTGATGGTTCTGGACCTTTCCTGTAAACAGCATCTTAGAGCATGTGGATTCCAGTTTCTGCACACCTTTGCAATCAAGTAGTTGAAGCAGTGTCCCTTGTGATTTTGACTTTCCTTTGCTTGATGGCTAAGGATTTGAGGCATATTTTCATATGCTTCAATTGCCATTCATATATGTTTCTTGGAGAAATATTTGGATGTTTTTCCCTATTTTATAATTGTATTTGTCTTACAATTGATTTGTAGGAGTTCATTATATACTTCTTTTGTCAGACATTTAGTTTGTGAGTCTTTCTGTTTTAGTGTTTTGTCCTTTCACTTGTTTGACTCTGTCCTTCCAAAATTATAATTAGAAATTACTTGTTTGACTCTGTCCTTCCAAAATTATAATTAGAAATTTTAATGAAGTCCAATTCACATATTTTTTCTTATTTTATTTCTGCACTTGGTGGAATTAAAAAGAATTAAAAAGAATTTTTAATAAGAATAATAATTAAAAAGAATTTTGATAAATCTAGGTCATAAAGACCTACACATCTTTATTTTTACTTTATAGTAGAGTTAAATTTTTAAAAGGTAATTTTGGCTATTTAATATCCTCTCCATTGTGTACTCAGATCCTTTAAGTGAAGAGTGAAGATTTTTTTAAATGTGAAATTTTAAATCAACTGGTAGAGCCATTTGTAGAGTAGCTTGTGAAAACAGTTTAAATTGATAAAGATTTGTCCTCTTTGGTCTTAACTGGGAACTAAAAGAAGAAATACACACAGAACGATTTCTTTGGTGTTTTTCTTTGTATTTTGTCCATTCTTCTGTATTCCAGTGCCTTAGCAATTCAGAAGAGATTGTTAAATTGGAACCTCTTTGGGATGTGTATTGTAAAATGGAGGCAGACATGATTTGTGTTCTAGTAGCTTATTTTCCTTGGTTCTTTAATTAACACTGTTTCTGTGCACTTGGGAAAATTCATGTTATTAATAGCCTCTTCCAAGCATTTTAATCATGTACAAAGTAATAGTAGAAAATGTATACAGTGTTACCAAATCTCATTTTAGTGATTTCTGTAGTAAAAATTTTCATGTTAGTCATTAACTCCTAGTTCCTTTCCTTTAGGCGATTGCATTACCTCCTATAGCCAAATGGCCGTACCAGAATGGTTTTACATTTCACACCTGGCTCAGAATGGATCCTGTCAATAACATCAATGTAGATAAAGATAAGCCTTACTTGTATTGGTACGTATGTTTGCAATGGAGTAGTGTCAGTATCTTCCTTTGTAAATGAGATTGTTCTGGAGGTGAATGAACTTACTCTTCACAGTTTCAGAACCAGCAAAGGTCTTGGTTATTCTGCTCATTTTGTTGGAGGATGTTTGATTATAACATCAATAAAGTCAAAAGGAAAAGGCTTTCAACATTGTGTGAAATTTGATTTCAAACCACAAAAGGTATGTGATCTTACTGAGGCATAGTTATGTTGACAAGCTATGCCATTATTCAAATACTTTGTTATAATATTTGCATAACCATGCTGAATCACAATTTTGTTTTACTGTTTCGTAAATCTATGGTCATTGATTAACTCTCCATTTTTGATCGTAAAGAGATTAGATATTTACTTACTTACAGAGTTGCAGGAAAGTACAATGAAAAATTATAGTACCAAATATGTTTTGGTGGTGTAAATTTGATTTGTGTTTTTTTTTAATTAATTTAAAATCTGGAGATTGTTGGTCAACAAAGCGTTAGATATGTAAAGGCAGATATATAAAGCCACATGCTGAGATTTGGAAAATTATTTATGCTAGAATTTCAGCTTCTTCAAGGACTGTTTGAAATATTTAATAATAAGCTGACAGTACAATTAGATTGACTTTTCATCCTTGAGAGTTTCCCTGAGTAAGTATTGCTACAGAAGTAGAACACTGAACTTATTTTTAGGTTTGGTTTTAGCTTAATTTTTATCTGTATTACTAGACTGGTTGCTTTGTTCAAGACTTGTTACTCTTGTTTGTTTTGTGCATTCAGTGGTATATGGTAACGATTGTGCACATTTATAACCGGTGGAAGAACAGTGAGCTTCGATGTTATGTGAATGGTGAACTGGCTTCCTATGGCGAGATAACATGGTTTGTCAATACCAGCGATGTAAGTAGTTCTAAAATGTTTCGTGGAAAGAAGTTGTTGTAAAAGTGTGAAAAGCATATCAGGACTTGAATATGAATTTATATAAGTATAAGTAAAAATTGTATATTTTAATATTCATAATTTAGATAGTATTTTAATTTGTTGGTAAAATTTGATAATGTTTTATAGATTGTTCAGTTATTGCAAAATTCTTCTGGATAAAGAATTATAGGTTACATTGACTGTATTTTGATGGTGTTTGCATCACTGGCTCATTGATCAGAATAAGTAGAAGCTCTGTTTATGTGTAAGGTGAATATAATTCATGTCTGCCACAGATAATTAATATCATAATATGTTAATAATTGAAAAAGAGGTTCAGAATAGAGATTGAAATTAGAATTTTTTTCCCACGAAAATATTTTTTTAATAGAAAGCTTAAAAGAATTGAGAAAATGAATACAGATGAATCCACCATTACCTTCTTTCATATCCTCTGTTCTGGATCGGGACATGTTATGTAATGTTGCCGTTAGAGACTTAGGATGCTGTGTTAGACCTGTTTGAATCCCAGTTCTGTTGAGTACTGACTGTGTGTTCTTACCATATCTAGTAAGCCTTGTGTTTCTTCCACCATATTTTTCTCCACCTGAAAAATGGGGGGGAATGGCACTTATATAAGCGGAGTGCTGTGATCAAGCGTGATAATGCTCATAACTTGAGGACTGATTCCATGTGTCCTAAAGCTAACTCAGTGTTTTCCTTCTTGCATCAAAACATGCTCTTGTGTCTGGAGTTTTGCTTGCTGAGCTATGAACCTGCAGAGCCATCATAATTTTTTTCCTTTTGTATTTCCACCTTTTTGTCAAGGTTGCTGATGCTAATTGTTTTAGGATGCCTTTGCTGATTTCTATTCCAGATGAAAAGCAATGAATAAGTAATTTTAGTTTGTATAGATAACTTAGAATGGACAAAAAATATTGGTAGAGATTTAAAAATTATTTCTAGAGGATATACTGTCTTTTTTTCCTCTCTGATGAAATGTTCTTTTTGTTTCACAGACCTTTGACAAGTGTTTCCTTGGCTCGTCAGAAACTGCAGATGCTAACAGGGTGTTCTGTGGCCAGATGACTGCAGTTTACCTGTTTAGTGAAGCTCTCAATGCAGCTCAGATATTTGCCATTTATCAGTTGGGCCTGGGATATAAGGTACTCATTGTTTGTTCACTACTCAGCCAGTGTTAGTTGAGCTTTATTTGAAGGTAAATTTTGCATGGGACTTTTATCTTGTGGCAGCAAAATGTTTGTCAGGGTAAGTAGGGATACAACAGGAAAGTCACAATTTTCTGAAGGATTCTTTTAATTTCTGAAGACAGCATAGTATACTTGATTTATAGAAGGCAAAGTGCAAGCTCATTTCAGTTTCAGTGTTCTAGCTGTGGGTTTTTTTTTTGTGAGGTTATGTCTTTGCACAGCTAAGTCTATGATAAGAAGCAAGTACTATGTGAAAATCAATGTAGAGCAGGATAGTGGGATGGAGTCTGACTCCAAGGTTTGAGAAATGTTTAGTGCCCAAGATATGCATACTTCCCATTAATAATGTTGCTACTGTAATAAGGAAGGAAGCAGGTTTTCTTTCAAACTTTTTCATTAATTTTTTTTTCCAAATAATTAGGATATTAGAGTTGTTTGCACCTAGTTATTTAAACGTACAATTATTTTGTCAAATTTGTTTTTTTTAAAATTTATTCTTATTATTTTTTTTTATTGGAAAGGCAGATATACAGAGAGGAGAGACAGAGAGGAAGATCTTCTGTCCGATGATTCACTCCCCAAGTGAGCGCAATGGCCGATACTATTCCCGTCCCAAGCCAGGAGCCTCTTCCAGGTCTCCCACGCGGGTGCAGGGTCCCAAAGCTTTTGGGCCGTCCTCGACTGCTTTCCCAGGCCACAGGCAGGGAGCTGGAAAGGAAGCGGGGCTGCCGGGATTAGAACCGGCGCCCATATGGGATCCCGGGCGTGGAAGGCAAGGACTTAACCACTGCGCCACCGCGCCGGGCCCCAAATTTTTTTTGACAAAGAGGTTCAAAATTGCTCATATACTAAGAGTGCTATGAAAGGTTCCCAGAACACTTGGGTTTATCCTTCGATGATTTCAAAGGACGTGAATGTCTGCTGTGTTCCTTCCAGAACAAGCTCAGCTCCTTTGAGTTCATTTATATTACCATTTTAAGGCATTTAAAGAAAAGCGTCGCTGCCACCATCATAAAGAAATAGGATATTTTCATCATTGCCCAAGGTTCCACTGTGCTTCTTGCAGATCATTTCCTTCTTCTTAACCTCATCTCATTCTTGGTGAAAGGCAAATGTTTAAGAAAAGACTTACTTTTCTTAAGAGTCTGTGAAAGATGCAATGTGTGTGCCCCTGTCAATTTCTTCGCATTTTCAACACATGCAAAGATTCGCTTGTGTTGTTTGTATCAGTGCACTTGGTCCTCTCTATTGCAGAATCCATTGTATGAGTATATAACAGTTTACAAAATGTGAGAGAGACAGAGCGAGTGCTCCCATCTGTGGGTTTATTCCCCAGATGCCCACAATTCACAGATCTAAGTTGCAAGAAGGAGCTTAGAACTCAGTCCTGCTGTCCCATGTGAGTGACAGGGACCCAACCACTAGAGCCATCACTTGCTAATTCTCAGATGAACATTAGCGGGAAGCTAGAGCAGAAGCAGTACAGCCAAATAGACTGAATTTTTCATTGTATCTTAGTTTTTCATTAACACATATTAATTCCTTTCTCCTTTCTTTTTCTGTCTCCTCTTTAGGTATTTTCTTTATGGTTACCATGAGGGGTGCATAGAATACCTGGGAATTATGACAGTTATTTTATTTTAAAAATTTCCTCCAAAGATTTTCTTTTTTATTGGCAAAGCAGATATACAGAAAGAAGGAGCTACAGAGATAAAGATTTTTCTGTCTGCTGGTTCACTTCCCAAGTGGCTGCAATGGCCACAGCTGAGCTGAGCCAAAGCTAGGAACCAAGAGCTTCTTTTGAGTCTCCCATGCGGGTGCAGGACCCCAAGTCTTTGGGTCATTCACTGTTGCTTTCCCAAGCCACAGCAGGGCGCTGGAAGGGAGTGGGGCATCAGGGATACTAACCTGTCCCCATATGGCATCCCAGCAGATACAAGGCGAGGACTTAGCCACAAGACTATTGTGCCAGGCCCTGATGATGTATTTTAAAGTGGAAATTTCAGTGCTGCACCAATGCACTTCTCTTACATCTCTGTGCCAAATGCTTTGTGTCACAAATTACATGTTTTTTTTGTTTTATGTTTTTTTTTTAACTAACATTGATTTTATATCTGCTGTTTCCTACTAAATCCAACATGGTGACTTATAAACTGACATTACAGTACTGTAATATTTTATAGTTAATATATATAATCAGAAAGCTTGTGTTTGTTCTTATAAACATTCTAAAAAACTAAGGATTTTTAAAAAAATACTTGACTGTAACTTTGTAAAGTAACAAAATGGAGTGTTTTCCTTATCTCAGATATGATGAAAAAAATGTGGTTTATTAAAGCAATTCATGACTGAGTACTCATGAAGTTCCTAATCAAATATCGTTTGAGCTCCTTGTGTGCGCTCCGAAGAAATAAGTTAAGGGATAGGCTTTTGCAGAATGAATTTGCAGAAAAAAAACAAAAGCTTATAGTTTCAAAGTTGCCTATTTTTGGGGTAAAAATCGTTGGAAAGTATCTCTTCATACAATTATAAGTTAATTTGCTGCTTTTGATTGCTTTGAGCTTAAATTTTGTTTTTCTCTAAAATTTCATTCGTAAGAAATGCTCCAAGTTCAGTTTCATTAAAATCTTTTTAAAGATTTATTTTATTTATTTGTATTGGAAAGGCGGATATACAGAGAGGAGAGACAGAGAGGAAGATCCTCCGTCCGATGATTCACTCCCCAAGTGAGCACAACGGCCGATGCTATGCTGATCTGAAGCCAGGAGCCTCTTCCGGGTCTCCCACGCGGGTGCAGGGTCCCAAAGCTTTGGGCCGTCCTTGACTGCTTTCCCAGGCCACAGGCCAGGAGCTGGATGGGAAGTGGGACTGCTGGGATTAGAACCAGCACCCATATGGGATCCCGGGCATGCAAAGCGAGGACCTTAACCACTGCGCCACCGCGCCAGGCCTCAGTTTCATTAAATTTGCAATTGAGTAGAGTTAACGTTTTTCATGGCCTAAGTTGTGACTTTGCTCAGAGGCTTGTCAATCCTGGTTTCCATTTTAGCTTGCCATACCACTACCAAAAAAAGAAAAAAAATGTCAGTGAAACACACAGAAAAAAGTGAATATGATAATTAAGACATATACAAACTATTTACCAAATATTTCTTCACTTTTTTTCTACTAGTAATTTTAAAGTTTTTTTTTAAATGTATTAATTTGAAAAAGTCAGAATTACGAAGACAGTAGAAGAAACGGAGGTCTTGTATCCACTTTTTACTTCACAGATGGCTTCAACAGCCAGTGCAGGTCCAGTTGGGAACCAGGATCCAGGAGCTTCACATTCTCCCAAATAGGTGCTAGGGACCTAAGTACTTGTGCCAAATTTGCTGCTTTTCCATGACTTTTAGAAGGAAGTTGGGTCAGAAGTGAAGTGGCCAGGACACAAACTTGTGCCTGTGTGGATTGAAGATAATGGCTTTACCTTCTTGGCCATGCCACTGGTCCCTCTATCAATAATTCTTTGCATAAAAATGGATTGAACACCCTAGTTGAAGAACATGGACTGATTGAAAAAATTTTAAAAAATTCTGCATCAAAGTGTTTCACTTTATTTTTTTAAAGATATGTTTATGTTTATTGGAAATGCAGATTTACAGAGAGGAGAGACATAGAAAGCTCTTTCATCCATTCTTTCACTGCCCCAATGGCCAGAGCTGAGCTGAACATGTGCACCCATATGGGATGCTGTTGTTTGCAGATAGAGGATTAACTAATTGTGCCATTGTGCTGCCCTAAATAGACCCACTTTCGACCTCAGGATATGCGTAGGCCATATGTGAAATGAACAAGATGCTTGATGGAAATGGTTGCCAAAGAAGTGGCCATGCTTGGGCCTGTTGCTGTGGCCTAGAGGGTGAAGTCCTCACCTTGAACATGTTGGGATCCCATTTGGGTGGCAGTCCTAATCCCGGCAGCTCCACTTCCCATCCAGCTCCCTGCTTTTAGCCTGGGAAAACAGTCGAGGATGGCCCAAAGCCTTGGGACCTGCACCCATGTGGGAGACCTGGAGGAGGTTCTGGCTCCTGGCTTTGGATTGGCGCAGCACCAGCCATTGCAGTCACTTGGGATAGAAGATATTTCTCTCTGTCTCTCCTCCTCTCTGTATATATCTGACTTTGCAATAAAAATAAATAGATCCTAAAAAAAAAGTGGCCATGCTTGAATCAGACAAAATAGACTTAAGACAAACACTACAGTTAATATCAGGAGGTCCAAATACAATCTTGTATTACTGGACAATTGGAACAGCATGTGTGAAATGTGTCATTAGGTGGTTTTGACATTATGCAAAGACATACTGAAGACCGACACAAACTAAGGCTGTTGTGATGTCACTTTCTGTGGCATGTAACTGTACAGGAGGCAAACCATGGTAGAATTTAAAGGAAAAAGATGGCAACAGTATAGTAATATGAGGTTCCTGTACTCAATTTTCAGAGATATACAGAGCAACCATACAGAAGACCATTAAGGGAACAGAGCACCTGAACAGACTGTGCACCCAGTGGACTGAATAGGCATATACACAACACTGTGCAACAGCAGTGGAATGTGCCTTCTTTCCAAGTGCACATCTGACATTCTCCATGGGAGGCCTCGTGTTAGACCACCAGAAGGTTTGCAGCATATACTGCGATAGAATGCAATAGGATGCAAACACTAGAAGGAAGGTTGGCGAATCAACAGATACATAGAAATTTAGTACCAAGCTAAACAGCCTTTGATCAAAAGTACCCAAAGTATAAATCACAAGGGAACTTAGGAAATATCTTTCGAGAAATGAAGTGGAAGGGGCTAAGTGCTCTAACAGAGTTGCATATCCATGCGTCGGCTGCTCCACTTCCAGTCCAGCTCTCTGCTAATGGGTAGACGATGGCCCAAATGGTTGTCCTCAGCACTGTGTGGGAAACCCAAATGAAGCTCTTGGCTCCTGCTTTTGCTGTGAACCAACCCCAGCAGCTGCGGGCATTTGGGGTGTGAGCCAGCAGGTGGAAGATCTCTCTCTGGTTTTACCTTTCATATTATTAAATCAGTGTTTAAACAAACAAACAAAAAATGGAAAAAAATGAATTAGAAGCACAGTTTATTGAAATGAATGGCATTCAGTGAAGTAGTTCCAAGAATAAATTTTATTATAAATACTTAAAATATTGTCAGGGATGTCTCTTCTTGAATTTTTATGACTGGAACAGTTTGTATTTAGATGTGCCATATTGTCATAACTGTTATTTTTATTTACTCCTAGGGTACATTTAAATTCAAAGCGGAAAGTGACATTTTCCTTGCTGAACATCACAAACTTCTACTGTATGATGGCAAACTTTCTAGTTCAATTGCATTTACTTATAATCCTCGGGCTACAGATGCCCAGCTTTGCCTCGAGTCTTCGCCTAAGGAAAACCCTTCAATTTTTGTTCATTCGCCACATGCACTCATGCTGCAGGTACTAACCATGATGTTTTAAGACTATTTCTCTTGATAATTTTTGTCTGTTGCATAGCTCTGATTAAACACATAAAATGTTAACATTTTAGTGTTCTGCATATCCTGAAGTGCTTTATTTTTAATTGTTCCACAAAATACTGAGATAGTCACTGTTTTTGTTTTACAAGGATGTCAAGGCAGTTTTAACGCATTCCATCCAAAGTGCTATGCATTCAATTGGAGGGGTTCAAGTGCTGTTTCCACTTTTTGCGCAGTTGGATTATAGGCAGTATTTATCTGATGAGGTTGACCTGAGTATCTGGTGAGTTCCTTTATCTTTTCCTTTAATTTGATGTGTGAGTTCCTTCCATCACTTTTGAGCTGCAAACAGTTTTCTTTGTCTTTGTCTTTTCAGCTTTGCTGGTATGTCAGAATAGTTTCATGAAATTTATGGCTAAAATCCAGTAAAATCCAGTAGTAACATAAGTAGCAAACAACTTTCTTGTTAATCAGTAGGAAATATGGAAGCTGTAAGAAGCAGTGGGGCAAATGTTTGTCTCAGTGGTTAAGTTGCCACTTGGGACACCTGCAAACGTATTGGTATGCTTGTTTTGAGTCCTGGCTACTCTGGTTGTGAGCAAGCTTCTTGTCTGTGCCCTGGGAGGCAGCAAGTGATGGCTCAAGTACTTGGGTTCCTGTCACCAATATGGGAAATCCAGGTGGAGTTCCAGGAGCTTGAATTTGGCCTGGTGTAGCCCTGGCTGTTGATGACATTAAGGATGAATCTGCAGGTGGAAGATAAATTCCCTCTCTACCTTTCTCTCTTCCTGTATCTGTGTTTCAAATAAACAAAAATAGAAATTAGCATCATAATAAAATTTAATATTTGAAAAGCATATTGAGTTTGTTTTGCAATAAAGTTATAAACAGTGACAGTGGTGGGCACATTTTTTAAATCTAAGAATTACCTTTTCCTAATTTAAATATTTAGTACTAATTGTATGTAATTGAAAGTCAAAAATTTTAAATGGTGTTATATAAGAGGAAATTCAGTTCTTTTTACCATTAGCTTGTACATTTGTTGCATTTTGTATCTTGGGTTATAATGTTGAAACTAGCAAGAGTAGAGGCATTTTCTAGGATAAGTGGGAAAGAATATCTAAGTCAATTTTTTAATGACTATTTATTATGGTGAATTTCTGGTAAAATAGTTATATTTCATTATTATTTGAGAAATTTAAATGAATTTTCCATTCTCCACTTTTGAGATTCTTGGTTTTATTTTTACATTTGTACACGACTTGATGCCTGTTACTAAATAACTAATGAGGGAAGAGGTATCATATCTACTGTTTATCAACCATGTTTAAAAATATTGAAACTCAATTCTCTTTTGATACAATAATGCTCTGTAGGTTCCCCACAGGATCCAGTTCTTTGCCATTTTATTGGATTTCCTGCAGAAAGCACTGGTGTGGAGCAGAGGACTTAGTAGCCAGTCTTGCTGTCTCTCTCTCTGGGAACCTCTCAGAGTCTCTGAGAGGGTGGTTCTACCCCTTTCTTCCTTTGTGTATTTGTAACTGTTGTGGGGAAGTAGAACATGGTTGTAGCCATTATTTTGCTCTTACTTATTAATCACAATGCTTATTAAAAGTCTTGAAAACTGGGTGATTAGATTTTGCTGTTGAAATACTGAACAGGCTTGTGAAATTAGTGTTCAGAGACCTCAAGTTGGTGTCCAAATTACCTCATCTTTCCTTTGTGGATAACTGTACTCAGTTGAGACCAGGCCGTTTTAGTGCCCTAGCGTATTTTGAAGTTTTATATATTAGTTTGCTTGCTTCATGGTTTTTTTTTAACCTTCCTTTGGTCTCTAGTTCTCCAAAGTTGAACATACTTGCCTATCTAAGTTCCTTCCATCTCCCAAGACCTTAACATACCTTTATTAGCAATTTATGTGACTTTTTAATAATAATGCTCATTTTTCTCTACATTATGTGTAGTTGCCATGTTGTTTCTAAGAGTTTGCTTATTAGTGGTTGTGATGAAGAATGCAAAATATGGCAATACAAAACCTATGTCAAAAATCTAGTTGAGTAATGTTGAAGCAGTTTTAGAATTTCCAGTGGAAATCATAAAGCCTAAATGAAAGACACATCTGTGTAAACTAGTGTATTTTACAGAGGTATAATTTTTCTCAAACCATTGCCATTTTTCTTTTTTAGTTCAACCTTGCTGGCCTTTGTCATGGAATTGTTGAAGAACTCAATTGCCATGCAAGAGCAAATGCTTGCCTGTAAGGGCTTCTTGGTGATAGGATACAGTCTCGAAAAGGTAAATATAGTTTTTTTTGTTTGTTTTTTTACTTCTTAATTTGAAGGCCCTTTACTTGTTGTCCTAAGAGATTTAGAATATCTGTATGCTGGTATATCCCCTAGGTTACAGAAAATCACCTAAATTTAAAACAGCATTCTGCCCTTTTACCTTGACTCCATTCGTCCAATAAAATGTGATGATGAACCTAATGGTATCTATCATTTTGAGCTTAGTTTGTGGACCAACCTTTTGCTAGTATTTACTTACTTAAGTAAATTTGCTTACCTTGCCTTGAATTGGCAGTGACCTCCGGACCACTTGTCTTTGCAGTCTTCCAAATCCCATGTCGGCAGAGCAGTGCTTGAACTTTGCCTTGCGTTTTCTAAGTATCTCAGTAACCTGCAGAATGGGATGCCCCTGCTCAAGCAGCTGTGTGATCACATTCTTCTCAATCCTGCCATATGGATTCACACGCCAGCCAAGGTAAGGGAGCTCGCGGGTTCGTTTCTCTTGGCTCCAGTTCTGTGCTTGACAAGAGTGAAAGTTTTGAGGATTTTCTTTTATCCTTTCTTTGTATCATTATGTTGGCTTTTAGGGATTGCCTTTTTTGAGTAGGAATACTTTTGTTCAGGAAAATTTTGCATTATTTTTTATATATTGTAATAATTTTAATATATTACCTGTAAAAAATAGAGCAATGGTCTTTGTATCCTGCTAAGTGAAGTTTCTCTTGAGATTCTGTTTATGAAATATACATCAATGTTGGAAAGTTTCGAAAGCAATGTTTACCATCAACTTTAACACTGCACTACGGCAGTTTTCATATGTATATATTGTTTCATTAAAAAAATTCCTGCTATTTATTAACAAGTCTCTCTGCTCTCTTTCTCTTCCTGATCTGTGCAAGCTACCTTCTGCTGATTTGATCAGCTTCTCAGATTCATCCTTACAGGAACAGCTGAAGTCACTTTTCCTGGAAGGTGTGATATACTAGTCTAATTTTATCATTTTAATTTTATATTAATTCAAATGATAAAAAATATAGTACATTTGTAGCAAAAATTGTAGTACCCTTTTAATAACTCAGTTCTATGAAATTGTGACGTATATGAGCAAAATTTTAATGAGTCCCAGCTTTGTATTAAATTGTCCTGACAATTTAGTAATGTTAGAATTAGAAGAAAGAAATTTTTATCAACTTATGTGAATGTATCCATCTGTCCCACAGTTTTTATCAAAAATTGGTGTTACTTCAAACCTGTTATTTTCCTGTCTTCTCCTGCCTGGCTTTGGTCCACTTGGCAGGGTATGCGTATATTTTTGTCTAGGTTGGAATAGCACATATTTATTCTAGTTGTCAGAAAAAAAGGAAAAGTCTGCAAACTTTTCAGCTTTTCTGGAGTCATAATATCTTATTTTCAGCTGCTCTTTCCAAATGTTAAAGAGAAAAACAGCTGCTGACTTCAGTTGCCATTTGGAAATAATCAATGGAGGCAGCTGGAGGTTTTGTAGCTTTTTATCTCCAGGTTAAATTTGACCTCTTTCTCTCCGATGACCTTCAGTCTTATTATTTCTTTCCAAGGATTGTTTCAAGTTACTTCTTTAAACCTTTTACTAGATCCTTTTTTGTCTTAACTAACCAGCATATTTGTAAAGTTTTGGATCTCTTTTGAAGTCATCAAAGAGTCTCTTATTAGAGATTTAAATGCAGGAAAATATTTCAGATATTTTATATGATTTTCTTGGATTTCTAATCTTACCCTGTGTTATTGCCTTCTGCTTTGTAATAGGTCTTAATTTCCTTCCCAGAATTTGCGAATAATGTAATGGCTTTTAGCACTCTGCTTTGTTTATCTATGAGAGTTTAGTTGCTTTTATTCCATTTGTAAGGTTACATATAACAAAGGGCAGATCTCGGTTTGTGGGACTGAAGATCATGCAGTTTTCAGGGTGGAGAAGCTGAAAAGGAGTCCTGGAACGAATATGACGCTTAAGCTTCATTAGCTTTTGTGTTAAATCTACCTCGCTACTGAAATAATAGGAACGAATGGTTGAATCAGTTTTTGCTTTTGGAGCAGGGAGCTAAGAGTGACTTAAAGTTTCTGTTTGTCTTGGATCTGCCCAGAGACAAGCTTTTAATGTTGAGGGTAGTGTTTTGTTTACACAAGTAAGCATTGAATAGCTGCTTCTTACAGGGCACTGTGGTTAGGCATGAGCAAGTCAGACTTGATTTTTGCGCTCTGTAGAATTTCAGTCTAGTGGGAAAGACAGATGTTAGTGTATGTGTGGCTTTTGGATTTGTAAAGTGGGTGAGTGAGGGAATGCTTATTCATAATTAGCATGTGACAGATCTTGAGGTCTTCATTCCATTCATCTCTAAATGTTGCTATTGAATCCTGTCTCTTTTTTATCATTCTTAATATACAAACTTTTCTGGATACTTTTCAATTCTTTGTCTAGTTTATCACCTTTCTGTTGGAATTTCTATGTGTTGTTATTATATCTCTCCAAAAAACTCTTAATAGTTTCTCATTGTATTTAAAATGTAGTAGTTCTTAATCTAACATTAAACCTTTATGAGCATTCTGTGTTGTCAATTCTAGCTTAAGAACTCCAGTATTTTCTGTAGGTAGGCAAATACCAAAAGGTTCCCCTGAAGCAGCCGTTTCTCATGTTGGCTGCTGATTGAATATATTGGAGGAAGTGTTTCAAATAAACAGAGGTGTCGTTCTAGTTTGACACAAAATTTAGGTTTCTTTAGTCTGGAATTGGAATCTGATATTAGTATTATTTGAAAAATGTTTTCCAGTTGTTTGTAAAACAGTTAATTTATTTGAAAGGTATAGGAGGGTTTGACAGGGAGAGAGAGAATACTTCTATCCTCTGATTTACTCTACAGATGTTTGCAACAGCTGGGAGGGGCCATGGCTGGTAGCTGGGGACTGGGTCGTCCATGTGAGAGACAGGTGCTAAGCTACATGCTCTCAGGAACCTGGAATTTGGAGCTAGAGCTGGGAGTTGAACCCATGCATTCCAGTGTGGGATGTAGTAGACTTACCCAGCAGCACAGGCACTGATTCATCTGATTATTTCAGTGTGCAGTTAGGTTTGTGTTTCTAGATCTAGGGAAAACTTCTTTCAACCATCATTTTCCTTGTTTGAGGTTTTCTTTCTTGTTCTGTCTGCCCTTTGTATTAGTCATCTTCATAGCCTGTGCTAATACTTATTTGATTAGGAAATAATTTCTTAACGGTTTCAGCTTACCCTATAATAGTTTGTATGACCTCTGTATACATTTTGTCTTATGACTTTCTGTGTTTTAATAAGCATATTTATTTTTAAAAATAAACTCATAGTAATTTTCCTCTTCTCAACTGTATTTCAGCTATGAAAGGACAGCTTTTGTGCCATTGTATTTCCATAATACAGTGCTGTGTCTAGAGGGACATGTAAATATTTGCTGAGTGGCTGAAATAATGTGGTTAAGAATTGAACTATTTCATAGGAAGTGTTATATTGCTTCAGTGACAACCAGATTGGGCCTATCCATTTGAACAATGGGTAACTGCGTGTCAAATAATGATAGCTTTCAGCAAATCAGTGGATGGCAGCATATACATCAATTTCTAAACTGCATTCATCTACTAAGTCCCATTTTTAAGGATTCAGTCTGCCACTTACTGTGTACAATAACTCACTAATTAATTTATCCATGGTTATCTATAAGGCATGTAAAAAATAAGGATTAAATTTCTGCTATCTAAAAAAGTCCTCAAGAGACACTCAGGTATTTTGCAGAATTGAAAATGAAATGAAATTGCCCTAAATGTCCAAGAGGGTAACATAAAGGTTCAGTTGTCAGAAGGAGAGTATATATGGTGTACTTAAAGTTGTTTAGTTTATGAAGTATATCCACTTTCAGTAAAATGAAAAATTTTGATTTCAGCCTGAGAATAGGACCAAGCTGTTCTTTTTTTTCATGCTACCTTAAGTACTGGAGCGTGATTGTCATTGAATTTCAGAGCCATAATTTCTCTGAAATTCTTGTGTCAGAATGTGCAGTGGTAGAGTGGGAACTCACGTTCTTACTACGAAAAGAGCTCGTTTTGAAGGTAGTGCTAGCATACATAATTTTATGTGCTTACTTAGGCTATTTATGAATGAGACTAGCAGGATCTTTTGCCAGTTGAAGGACAATGATATACATGTTTAGAGATTGTGATATTATGATTGACATGTTAGATTCCAATCGTTGTAATAGACTTCTGTTGTTCTAATAAATGTTTCTTAAGGTAAGATCTACATTTTCCTTCATGTTTTTCTTAATTTTGGTTTGTACTTTTAAAAGATTTTAGTTATTACTACGTTTTTTTCTTTTCTAGTTTTCTTCAAAATAAGATTTTTAGCTTTAAGATAGCTATGCGTAGGTGACAAGTTTATTATAAAAGTTATACATGCTCATAAATAATTAATGGTAGCTAACTAGGAACCCAAAAGGTATGTCTGTGGACTAGTACTGTAAAATTTGATGTTTTGGAAAGCGTGTACTCTATAATGCTACCAAAAATAAGAGATTGACTTAGCTTTTAAAGAGTGTGTGCAATTGCTTGTGTGTCAGAGTATGTGTGTTTTCTGTCACAGGTGTTCTCAGGCTCAGTATGTTGCTTTTCTGGAACAAGTAAGACCAAATGAAGCTGATTTGAGCCATGATGTCCTTTGATTAAGACCCTCGCTTCAATTCCATAGGTCCAGCTGATGCTGTATACTTACCTGTCCACGGAATTCATTGGTACAGTCAACATCTATAATACCATTCGGAGAGTCGGAACGGTGCTTCTCATCATGCACACACTCAAGTACTACTACTGGGCAGTGAATCCTCAGGATCGAAGTGGTATCACCCCGAAAGGATTAGGTATAGCATTCCTATGTGTATGTCATAGATTGTATATGGAAAAAAATTAGGCATTAAAAAAATTCTAAACAGTACTTATCCTATAATTTGGGCAGTTTTTATGTGTTTCATTATGGAAATTTTTAATTTAAATTTCAGTGATAATTTTGATAGTTTATCCTAAATTTTAATTGCTAGAGGATTTGTAGCTTTTATGACAGAACATTGCTTGTGCTGGCATGAGTTGTCGGTTAGCATACGTGTCTGGGATGGTTCTTGTAAGGCACTGAAAATGAGAAGAAAATTTTAACTAGCTAGTGATATTGATGTGGAGATTAATTTTCATAGTGAGACTTGTTAGTTTTTTTGGAGATGGAGATTTCTTGCAGAATGCAAGGTGCCTGCTTCTGATAAAAATATAATAAAAGTGCAGCATGATAATTACTTTCCTGCATGATAAGGACTAACTTACTGAAAGAGTAGTATTTATCTTCCATGTCAGTAGTCAAAATAAAGCTTTTGACAGGTGGTTGCTCTTTTGGTTATAACTATTGCAAAACCAGCTTCCAAAATGGGTTGTGTGTGTGTTGGCGGGGGACGGGAAACAAAAGGACTCAATCAGCTAATATAAACTGTCAGTTTCAGGTACAGCTTGGCGCAGGTGTTCAGAACATGGCCATAATGCCTGTCTCACACTTTTGTTAGTTCTGTGTTTGTTGTTTCTATAAAATCTCTGCTTTTATAGTAGTAGGCAGGTAGTCTACCTTCATATCCTCACAACTTCATAAATTTAGCTAGAGCATCTGCCTGTATCAGGCATTTCCAGCCAATCCGCTTGTATTCTAGTTCCCTTGTTACTCTTTAGCTCTCATTGCATTGCATGCTCATCTTTGTGGCAGTTGTTTTTCTGAGTGCCCAAAGGTAAGAGGCATCACCCCAAGCGGCCTACCTTAAAAAATACGTGGGTTCTGTGAAGATGGTTTTGGTCCCTTGGTAAGGATTAAAATCTGTTGCTTGAAATTTAGGAAAAAGCTGCTTCAGTGTCCAAAAACATGCATGCTGAATGTCGTCCAAGTTGTTAGTTGTTCAGTGATTACAAAGACAAGCTCTCATGTTTGTACAATCCTTTTTATTACCACTTTCAAAATAAACTCAATTATTGTCAGGAAATACAGCATTCCTAATTCAGAAATCTGTGAGGATGCTGGTATGATTCTTTGCAGCTGAGAAGCCAGTGACAAGAACCAGTCCAGAACGTCCTGGTGACTATGTACTGTCCTGGCAGTTCCTTTCGCATTCAGTCCCTGGGTAATTGACTGGGTAATTGACTGCTAATGACTTTGGGGGAAGTCTCATTCTTCACATGAGCTGGCTAGACAGGTTCTGTGATCCTGTTCTAACTCTTCAGTTTACTCTCTGGGAATCATGTGGAACAGATTTTAAACAATTCTCTTCTTATTTCACTTGATCTGTTGAAGGTCATGGTGGTCCTATGCTTTGGTGGTCTAGGAACTGGCTGTAAATAGTGATTAGTGGGAAAAAATTGTAGAATGTCTCAGGCAAACAGGTACCTCATTTAGGATCTTAGAACAATGGGTGTTGGATTTCAAAAGCTTTCTACTTGGGAATTATAGGTTTGAGACATGAAAATTGACTTAATGTGAGCCATGTGTGACCAAGGACTCTCCCAGAAGAGAAAGATGTCAAAGGCAGTCAACAAAATGTTTCTCTTCTTCACACACAGCACTGTGTGAAGAGAAGAGCTTTTGGGGAACTTTCAGTTTATACAGTGATAACAGCAGGAAATATTATGTTGCTAATTTACATTTTTCTTCTGTTAACAATACTCACGAAAGAATCTCTTAAAAATACAAGTGCTTATGATTAGTGCACACAGCTTTTGCTTGTCACCTCATTTTCATGCCTGAGCGGGCATCTCTGATGTGTTCTTGCACATTTGGAGAGTGGTGATACAGTTGCTGGACATGGAGTGCTGTCTTTCTAGAGACAGAGGAAGGGCACTGAACAGGCGACTGACATTTGTGTTTCTCATAAATAAGAAAAAAGTCTTTGGAATGAGCTCTCTGCAATACTAAGTGTCTATGTGTTTGTTTTTATAAAGATGGACCACGACCTAATCAGAAAGAAATACTTTCCCTGCGAGCATTCTTGTTGATGTTCATTAAGCAGTTAGTGATGAAGGTGAGTTCATGTTGCTGCTCTGGTGGGATGCTATGCATGGCAGCTTGGAATTTCACATAAAATGCAATCTTGGATTAGCTAGTTGTTGGGGTTTTTTTGGCATTGTTACTGGGATTACATATGGCCATATTTTTGATACATATTTATTTCCTGTGAGTTTTTTAATCCTTTGTTCACCTAAGGATATAAATTATTCTACAACTGGAAATTGGTGCTTGCAGTATACACGTTACATGGATGTCTTTGGAGCTCAGGTATATTCATTCTTGTTCAAAACACATTGTCTGAGTTTCTATTGAATGCTCAGTACTGTTAGTGATGGTGGTACAGTAGCTGGCAGAACTCAAAGGGTTTTCACTGGTAGAGAACTCCTTGTACTTGACATCCACATTTTGGGATGTAATATTCCTTTATAAATGTACCACCTAGATTTGTTAGTCTCTAGGAATAGTCATGTTTTGTCACTTTTCATACTCTCAGAGGTAAAGTAAAGTTTAATGCTATTTTTAAAGAAGGCAATTTTGTTTTGTAGGATGGTAGTCTGTAAATGTGTTTCTTACCAGAGTTTCATTTAGAATTTCTCTGTATCATTTAATTTCTTCTAAAGCTTCATTAGCTGGCATATAGTATTATAGCAAATGAATCTAACATTTATCATACCTTTCTACTCAGATAATTATGTCCATCTATATGAAAATTTTTCTTGATAAATTAAATTTTTTTCTGTTCTCTAAATTTTTTCTTGGTATATGCTTGTTTTTATTTTCAGGTCTCTCTTTTGTGATTAATACATTGATAGAGTTTGTTGAAACTTTTCATACTGAGTTCATATTTAAAACCATACTGCTTTTCTCTAGCAAAGTTGCTAGTCAGTTTTTGGTACTTGACACTTTGATAATTTTAAGAATTGTTTCTTTTATTCTACAAACTGAATTTTTATAGAAAGATTATCTATTATATTTGAATTAATACCCTTATTTGTCTTTCATTGTTTGTATCTGCCTAAGGATTCTGTAGCTTTACTAAATAGGCTATTATGTATTCAGTGCTTTTTCAAATTTAGATTCCATATTACAGTGTTACAGCAGCCAAACAATTTGACAAAACCTATATATTTAGCTTCCCTTTTAGAATTTTTTTCTTTTGGCCTAAACATTATAATTGTTTTATGTCTTTAAAGGATTCTGGAGTAAAGGAAGATGAACTACAGGCCATTCTTAATTACCTACTGACTATGCATGAGGTAATGTTGAATTTGGTGAACTTTCTTTAAAAGTTGTGGCTGATGTTCTGGTGTGTCACCAGCGTCTAGATGCTGGTGTCTCGCGTAGGCAGTGGTCTGAGGCTCAGCTACTCCAGTTGTGATGCAGCTCCCTGTATGTGCGTGGGACAGGAGCAGAGGGATGGACCCAGCCCTTAGGCTGCTGCTTGGGGTCTGGCCCCGACATGGCCATTGCAGCCTTTTAGGGAGTGAAGCAGCAGATGAAAATCTCTCTGCTTCTGGCTTTTTCTCTCTGTAACCCTACCTTTCATATAAATCAATTTAGAAAGTAGAAAAGTTAAAGAAATATTCACTAATTAAATCACTGTTACAGGAAATTGCTTGTTTGGAAACAATCTTAGTAGTCTTTCTTTAAATATCTTTTATCATTATGAAATGGCTCTCAGCATTACAATGAATGTCTTTAAATAGTATGAAAATTAAATTTCGTTAAGTTAATCTTGAAGTATTTCAGAGTGTACTTTTGCTTTACTTGCAGAAATCAGTGTAATAAATGAAAAGTTGGATTTTAAAATAAAAATGATTAGATTTTAAGTTTCTAAAGACAGTTGTACTGATTTGCATGTTTGAATGTTAAATAACTAATTTTTAATGAGCTTAAAATAATGTGGTTGAAAGGGAGTTTAAAATTGAGTAAGTTTAAAAAACTTGTTTTTTATTATTTAGCATTCCAACTGTAATGTCAATGTTATGATTACATTAATTTGGTGTGTCCTATATAACCATATTTTTAGATGAAAATTTATTCCAACCTTACCATTCATTCTTATGAATTAATGTTTTAATGTCATACAGTGCCTTCTTTGTCAGCATGTAGCTTTTATTTATTTATGTATTTATTTTTAAAGATTTATTTTATTTTTACTGGAAAGTCAGATATACAGAGAGCAAGAGAGACGGAGAGAAAGATCTTCCATTCGAAAATTCATTCCCCAAGTGAGTGCAACAGCTGGTGCTATGGCGATCCGAAGCCAGGATCCAGGAACTTCTTCCAGGTCTCCCACATGGGTGCAGAGTCCCAAAGCTTTGGGCCATCCTTGACTGCTTTTCCAGGCCACAGGCAGGGAGTTGGATGGGAAATCCATCTGCTGGGATTAGAACTGGTGCCCATATGGGATCCTGGCGTGTTGAAGACGAGGACTTTTAGCTGCTAGGCCACACCACTGGACCCCAACATGTAGCTTTTACAACAGAAAATTAAAGGCAGTAAAGGAAAAACTGGAGTCAAGGCAACCCAGTTAACTAATTTCTGAGAACTCATTACTATTCCCTTTTAGGGTCAAATTGTCCATAATGATATGCATATGTCTTGAAATATACATCAAAGGCTGTGAAGAATTTCCATCAGGATTTTTGGGGAGTTGGAGTCACAAATACTCCTGTTGTAATGTTTCATAATTGGTGTCTGACTGTGCCACATATAGCAGTATGTTGACTTAATAAACATGTTGATTTTCTTCACCTTGAAAATTGATAAGTTAATATAAAGAACTACCAGGTATTTTCCCAAAAGTTGTTCCTTTGGAGTTGAGGTTATAGTGCACCAAGTATTTCAGTTTAGTTAAATACCACTACCACCAGAGTCACATCATCATTTCTTTGTTTTAAAGATGTTTTTATTAAGAGTTCTCTTCTAAATAAAATTTTAAGGCTAAACATGTAGCTTTTTTCTGAGGTACTTTTATATCCTTCAGATTAGGATTACACTAAAAATGTTATGGATGCTGTCCAAAATATTATCATCGATGTAAATTAAGACTTCATCCTTTTCCCACATTAAAAATAAAATTTCTAAGATTTCTTCAAGAGGAGACAAAAATAAGGGATTTCTGAGTGTGGAGAATATCACATGTGACAGTCATATCGCATATAAATTATGCACTCAGATAATTTAAAAAAATAAATGACTGTAACAGCAGCTCTGTTCATTGTCTGATGAAAATACATTGACTAGGGCCCAGCAGTGGTGCAGTGGTTAAGGTCCTCACCTTGCACCCCGGGATCCCATATGGGCGCCGGTTCTATCCCGGCAGCCCCGCTTCCCTTCCAGCTCCCTGCCTGTGACCCGGGGAAGCAGTCGAGGACGGCCCAAAGCTTTGGGACCCTGCACCCGCGTGGGAGACCCGGAAGAGGCTCCTGGCTTCGGATCGGCACAGCATCGGCCGTTGCGCTCACTTGGGGAGTGAATCATCGGATGGAAGATCTTCCTCTCTGTCTCTCCTCTCTGTATATCCACCTTTCCGATAAAAAAATAATAAAAATAAATCTTTTTTTTAAAAAAAAGAAAATACATTGACTACTAAAAATGAGTTATATATATAATGTTCAGAGTTTTAGATATTAATGCCATCTCTGAAAGTGCTGGTGTCCTATATGGATGCCAGTTTGAGTTGAGGCTATCCCACTTAGGATCCAGTGCCCTTCCTGCTCATGTGCATGGAGCCTAGTAGAGGATGGCCCACATACTTGGGTTCCTGCATCAGAGTTCCTGGCCCCTGGCTCCGCCCTGGCCCTGGCTCGGCTGTTTCAACCATTTGAGGATTAAACCAGCAGATAAATCTCTCTGCCTGCCCTAACTCTGACTCCAAATTAGAAACAAAAGTATCATTTCAATATGGAACCAATAGAAAAAAATTTAAGGTATTTTGTTTATCATCCTGAGTCTTCACGTTCTGGTACATGCTTTTGTACTTAGAGCGACTCCCACACTGGCCTAGTTTTTTCAGGTGCACTATAGGTCCACAGGACAAATAGGTAGTGCATCGGACAATGCAGATACAGAGCTTTAAAAGAAGCTGACTCAAAATTTTCCCACAAATATGTTCCCCCTCCCAAACTGCCTCAATAAACCCTTTTTTCAACTAGATTAGAAAGCTTTTATTTTTTTTTCTCCAATTCCTTTTATTCTCTGGATCTGCAGGCAGGGAGAATGGGAGAGGGCTGCTTCTTATTGTCAAACTGCCTCAGCACCCAGGAATGGGGGACAGTCATTTGATGATGCTTTAGAATGTTCTGAGCATGTTACTTGAATAGTATTGATAGTTCTGAGATGCGTCGGCTTTGTTGCACTCAGGTTTAGGAAAAACTTTTCAGGGTATATTGGCTGACCAAGTCCACCTCATTGTGCGTCAACAGACCCAGGCACTTGCCAGGAGAGTTGTTCAAACTGTTCTGTTTTCCATCTTCTGACGGGGCACCCAGCATCCTCTTCTAGTCTAGATGAATGGGCTATCATGTGCCCCACTCAGAGTCACATCTTTTACGGACATGAATGGCTTTCATATGTCATGCTTCAATAAAGTTCCTTTTTACCCTCAATTTCATGATGTATTTCCTTTCTTTTTCAAGAAATTTATTTATTTGAAATATTTTTTTAAACACACACACACATGCACACAAGTTTCTTCCATTTGCTGGTTCACCCCAAAAAGGCCGCAAAGCTCAAATGGTCCATGTCCGGACTAGGTTGAAGACGGGAGCCTGGACCTTTGTTCATGTCTCCCTCCTGGGTGGCTGGGGCCCTGATGTTTAGGCCAGTCTTCTGCTTTCCTGATGTCAACAGGGGCTGGATCAGAAGTGGAATGAGCATCCAGGACTTGAACTGATGTTCATGTGGGATACTAGTTTCAAATGTGGTAGCTCAACTCTTGCACCACAATGATGATTCTGATGTATATTCTTTCCAAAAATAAAATAATACATTAGATGTATTATTGTGTAGAGTATACTTCAAGAACTCTTAATTATAAGGGGCATTTTAACAAAGCTGCTGGGTTTGAAAAATTACTATATACGTTTTATTTTTATTTTTGTCACTTAAGAATTAGGTATATTTTGGGGGGGTATTGTGATGTTTCAATGTATATATCAGAGTAAATGTGTTTTTAAAATATTTATTTGAATGACATAGTGAGAGAGAAAGAGAGAGAATTTTTTGTGTAGTGGCTTATTCCATAAATGACCACAGCTGCACCAGCTGGAGCAAGGCCAGGCAAGAGGTGGCTTGGGGAACTTTGTATTAGTTTGTCTAAGGACTATCTTCCACTGCCTTTTTAGGCGAATTAACAAGGACCTGGGGGTATAATGGAACATGCATCCAGACCAAAGATGGAATCCCAGTGAAACTGTTGGACATGTGTAGACAATGGGATGCTGGACTGTCTGACATTGTCTGTACCAGCAGTGTCAGGGCACACTTAAATAAGAGACTGATAGAATTAAGATTCCTTATGAAGGGCTACACTATTGTAACAAAAAGGGAAAAATCTGAAGGGGGGTGAATCCGAGCCTACACAAAATTTTACCACACAATTCAAAATTCAAAATAAAAGTATATTTAAAAAAAAAAAAAAACAAGGACTTGGTAGAAGTCAAGTGCCAGGGACTCATACTGGCCGTGTGGTATGGGATGCTGGTGTGGCAGGTGGCATTTTAGCCTAATCTGCCACAACTCTAGTTCCCACATGTTTTCATTTAAAAATGTATTGTAAAAAATTCATTCATAAAGTTGGAGGGAGGATAAGATGGAAACAACATCCGAGAGAGAGAGAGAGAGAGAGAGAGAGACAGACAGACAGACAGACAGACAGAAGGGACACAGAAAGGGGGAGCTCCCATCTGTTCACTTGCCAAATGCCCACATCAACTGGGACCGGGCTGAGGCTGGATCTGGGAGCTCAGTCCAGATCCCTCATGTGGGGGTGGACAGCTGCAGTTAGGAGCCAGAGGGGTGTTGAATCTGGGCGCTCTGTTCGCTGATGCCAGATCTTAGCTGTGGTTCTGACTGCTGTGTCCAATACCTGCCCCTTAGGTTCCTAGTAAGGAGCTGAGTGGGGATGATATATAGTTTGATTATACAAAGAAGGTGTATATTTAAACAATATATTTTCAAAACAGGCATGTATTACACAGGTGTCTACTCCTTTTTGTAAAATTGAAATATCCTTTGTTTAAGGATTAGTCATTATTGAAATAAGTTATCTTCACCTGATTTTTATTTTTAACTTTCTAAAATAATTGTAGGATGACAATCTAATGGATGTCCTTCAGCTGCTTGTGGCGTTGATGGCAGAGCACCCTAACTCTATGATTCCTGCTTTTGACCAAAGGAATGGCTTACGGTAAGAGTTATTAGCTCAAGAGATTTGAAAATATTGGAAAGATTTTTCATTGAAAGCATTATCTAATCTTATAAAATGAGCTTACAGTGTGAAAGAAGATTTTTAAAACACATTTATTTCATGTAATATAGTTTTTTGAATAAATCTTATTGCAGAGGTTGTGTTACTGTAAAATTTGTCAGGACAGATTTTTTCAGTATTTTGTGTAGGGGATGCTTCTGTGGCCATGTCAGTTCTTTAGCAAGGTTCTGTTTTGCTCCTGGAAATGTAGTTTCTAATTGTGACCGAAGGGGGCTCTCTGTCGTCTCTTAAAAGGTCATCCTGTCCAGCGTATGGTTAGAAATCAACCACAGTGCAGCAAGATTATGACACATCTGTTAGCATCGAGAGCTTCTTCCCCACTCACCCTTTTTATATCGTTCCCAGTGCTGGCACTCTGCTTATTGTCACTTACGATTAAATTGAATATTCTGTGCTTTTATGTAAAGTGTGACTATATAGTAAATATTCTTGATTTGTTTGCCCTTTTCATTCAGCGTAAATTATTTTCCATACTGTTAAGTGACTTAAGCTTATTCCTTTGCATTCCTGAATATTTTTTCATTACACATGTGTTATGAATTATTAATCATTCACTATTGATGGACACTTGTCATTAGTTTTTGGATTTTGAAAATAAATATTCTCTGACTATCCATATGCAAATTTCTATATGGACATGTCCTTTTGTTATCCTGAGTATATACCTACGAATGTAATGGCTGAGTCAATTACATAAGATTTTTGTTTAATTTTTTTAGATAAATGTGCTGCTTCTGTTTAAAAAGGTATTTTATTTGTGTGAGAAAGGAGAAGAATCTGTTGTTGGTTTACTCTAAATATTGCAACATTCGGGACCCGCGGGCTGAAGCCGGGCACTAACTTCAGGTCTTGCCTGTGATGTCTCGCTTCAGCCACTGAGGCCAATGGCTCCTATCTCCTCGTGTGTATAGTTATTATTATTTTTTTTATTTTTTATTTTTTTTAAAGATTTATTTTTATTATTTTTTTATTGGAAAGGTGGATATACAGAGAGGAGAGACAGAGAGGAAGATCTTCCGTCTGATAATTCACTCCCCAAGTGAGCGCAACGGCCGATGCTGTGCCGATCCAAAGCCAGGAGCCTCTTCCGGGTCTGCCATGCGGGTGCAGGGTCCCAAAGCTTTGGGCTGTCCTTGACTGCTTTCCCAGGCCACAGGCAGGGAGCTGGAAGGGAAGCGGGGCTGCCGGGATTAGAACCGGCGCCCATATGGGATCCCGGGCGTGCAAGGCGAGGACCTTTAACCACTTGCGCCACCGCGCAAGTGGCCCATATAGTTATTATTTTTTAAAGATTTATTTATTTTTTATTACAAATTCAGATATACAGAGAGGAGGAGAGACAGAGGGGAAGATCTTCCATCCGATGATTCACTCCCTAAGTGACCACAATGGCTGGTGCTGAGCTGATCTGAAGCCAGGATCCAGGAACTTCCTTCTGGGTCCCAAGAGCTTTGGCCTTTCTTGACTGCTTTCCCAGGCTACAAGGAGGGAGCTGTATGGGAAGTGGAGCTGCCAGGATTAGAACTGGTGTCCATATGGGATCCTGGCGCGTTCAAGGCAAGGACTTTAGCTGCGAGGCCACCATGCCGGGCCCTCGTGTGTATAGTTATATCAGCTGTGTGTGAGTTTGATTGCTCTGGATTCTCATGAACAAGTTTCCAATCTTTAATTTTAAGTGTTCTAAAACATCTGTAGTCACTAATTCTGATTATAATTTGCATTTTTCCTGAGAACTGATGGTGATTTCCAGCATCTTCTTACATGAATTTTTTTGCTTAAATGATTAAATTGTTTATCAGTTTTAAAGATTTTTTGTTTGGTTATTATTTCATTCAGAGTTTTTTATTCTGTGTAAAAGTACTTTAGTTCTTCTATGCATTGGGAATATATTTTCCAAGTTGATGGCTTCTTTTTCTCCTTTTGACAAGGACTTTCAAGAAGCAGTAAAATTAAGAAATCCAATTTTATGTTATGATTGTAATACTGTTATAAAAATCTAACTTTTTTTAATATGAAATTCATAATTTTTTGAGAATATTTTATTTGTTGGAAAGGCAGAGTTACAGACCGGAGGGAGATACGGAGACAGAAGTCTTCTATTTGCTGTTTTACTCCCCAAACAACTGGCCAGCATTGGGCCAACCTGAAGCCAGGGGACAGAGCTTGTTCCAGCTCTCTTATTTGGGTACAGAGGTCCCAACATTTTGGCCATCCTCCATTGCCTTCCCATGCACATGAGAAGAAGTTGGAAGTAGAGCAGACGTAAGTTCAGTTGGTGCACATACGGGATGCCAGTGTTGCAGGCAGTAGGGTTAACGCATTATGCCACAACATCAGCCCCCAGAAATATTTTTTTCTAATGATTTTATAGTTTTAGCTTTCACATTTTAGTATGTAAATCATATTGAGAGGTATAAGTAAAGATCTTTATTTTTAGATCATGGATATGCAATTCCTAAATTGCCTTTATATCTTAGTTGAAAATTAATCAGCCAAACATATATAGGTCTATTTTCAGTTATTTTATTTTTTCCATCTTCATGCTAAATACAAAGTGTCTTAATCTTTGTAGCTTGTAATGAGACAGGGTGAGTCAATTGTGCTCCTCCTTTTTTCTCAGTTGTTTTTGCTGTTTTCATTTTTGTTTGTGTTTTAGAATTGGCTTATCAGTTTCTTCTAGAAAGTATGGTGCCATTTTGATTGGAAATACATTGAGCTCATCTTTAGGAGTTTGGGAAAAAAATATCATGTTAGTAACAATGATTCAATATTCTGGGCCCGGCATGGTGGCCTAGCAGCTAAACATGAACATGCTCACCTTGAACATGCTGGGAGCCCATATGGGTGTCAGTTCTAATCCTGGCAGCTCCACTTCCCATCCAGCTCCCTGCCTGTGTCCTGGGAAAGCAGTTGAGGACAGCCCAAAGCCTTGGGACCCTGCACCTGTGTGGGAGACCTGGAAGAATTTCCTGGATCCTGGCTTTGGATCGGCGCAGCACTGGTCATTTTGGTCACTTGGGAAGTGAATCATTGGATGAAAGATCTTTCTGTGTTTCCTCCTCTCTGCTTATCTGACTTTCTAATAAAAATAATAAATAAAATCTTATAAAAAATATCCTGAGTCATGGAAACAGTATATCTCTTTATAAGTTCTAAATTTTTGAGCAGTGTTTAATAATTTTTATTGTGTATAGTGAACACATCTTTTGTCAGATTTATTCTTGAGAACTTTGAATTTTCTGATGCCTTTGTGAATTGCAACAGCTTTTTGTTCATACCTACCATTTACAGATAGAACTTACTTTATGTTTGGCTTTTTTTCCTGCAAGTCCATAATTCAGTTGAGTTTTTTTTCCTGCAGATTCCTTTTGATTTTCCATGCAGATATTTTGTGTCCAAATGATGATAGTTTTACTTCTTTCTTTTCTAATCTGAATTTTAAAATTTATTTTCTTTTGAATGGTTGCAATGGTCAGGAAATGCCCCTGCCCCAGTGCAATGCTGAACGGGAATGGTAAGAATGGGCATCCGTGCCTTGTTCCTGATGAAAGGGACCTGTGGCCAGGCTTTCAGGGTTATTTCTGTGAAAGCTGTAGAATTTTTGTTGATGACTTTGTGAGTCTGAGGAAATTACCTTCTCAGGATACTGGGATCTCTGGTCTGGTCTTTTTTTTTTTTTTTAATATTTATTTACTTTTATCTGAAAGACATCTTTTATAGAGAGGGAAGGAAACACGGAGGTGTTCCGTTCACTGGTTCACTCCCTAAGTGGCTGTAATGGTCAGAGCTGAGCTGATCAGGAGGTGGAGGCTTCTTCTGGGTCACACCCATGGCTGCAGGGGCCCAAGGGCTTGAGCTGTCCTCTGCTGCTTTTCCAGGCCATTAGAGAGGGCTGGATTGAAGTGGAGCAGTTGGAACTCAAACCAGTGCTCATATTGGATGCTGACACTGCAGTTAGAGGAGTAGCTTGCTGTGCCGTGGCACCAGCCGCTTTCTCTTTCCCTCTCCTTTTCCTTTCTCCTTTTCCTTTGCCATTTTCTTCCCTTTTGCCCCCCTTCTCCTCTTGACCTTCCTCCATGTCCCACTCCCTGTGTTTCTCCCTTTCCTTTCCACTTACTTCCAAGGCAGAGTTCCGGGGGAGGGGTGGAGATGGAGATAGCTTCTGTTTACTGGTTCCCTCTGCGCTAGCTGGGCTGGGCCAGGCGGAAGCCAGAGGCTTGGAGCCCTGGGTCTCCCACATGAGTGACAGGGCCCTTGGTGTATCTTCCCTGGCTTTCTCAGGTGTATTAGCAGAGAGCTGATTCAGGAGCAGCCAGAACTTGAGCCAGCATTCCATAGTTTAAGTTGTTAATATATTGTTTTACATATAATTAGCTCACCAAATACATAAAATGTTATGTTGTTTGAAAATTAACCTCCTTCCAGACAGAGTCATTTGGTAACTGTGGGGTGTGTGTGTTTGTGCGCACATGCGTGTGCCTGTGTGTGTATCTGTTTGGATTCAATTCACTAAAAGCAGGAGAAGTTTACATCTGTGCCCTTAAAACCCCTGAGGACTCATGGCAGTTTTCTAATCTTGTACATTCTTTCTGAGTATTGTGGCATCATAAATGCTGACCGAACAGAATGATTTGTGAAGTGTTCCCTGTACTTCAGTTTTCTGGAAGAATTTGTGTGGAATTGTTATTATTTAGTCTGTAGATTTTTGCTAAAATTTACCAGTGATGTCATCTAGGGTAGAATTTTATTCTTTGGAGTGTTACTATCTGTAGATTCAGATTCTTTAGCAGGTGTACAATTGTTTGGACTATCCATCTCTTTTTTATTGAGCTTTAGTTGTTGGTATCCTTCAACCAAAATTGGATATTTTTTCCTAAATGAATAAATTTATTCATAAAATTTTGTTCTTGGAGACTCAA